TTTTAAACTGAGTCCAGAAATATATTCTAACCAGTTTAGTTTGCATAGAATACATATAGTACGCTCTAATTTCCGGCAACTCACAATCAACTGAACACTGCATTCTACAGCAGCTGAAGCTTCCAAACTGTCTTTAAAAGTAGCCTGAAACAGAGCACATTACCGTAGTCTGATGTGGGTGTAATGGCAACTGTGTACCTAGACCCTCAGGGGTAGTGCAACCTCATCTGACCCCAGGTGTGCACACCATCCAGATCAACAGATTTCCCACCCGCTCATTGCCTCCATCCTATTGGAATTAAGTTATAGCTTGTTTCACTCATCCTCTGAAAACTGCCTCCAGACACCTGTTCAGGGCCTCCATCACCTCCCTAGGATAAGTAACTGGAAATAAGAGATACAGCTTCATATCATCTGCATACTGATGACACGTTTGTCCAACTTCCATATGCCCCTTTCATATAGATGTTAAAGACCGTGCGGGGAAGCATGGAACCTGGCTGTACTCCAAAGGCCAGTAGCCATAAGTCCCCACAAAAGAACTGAACACCAGTATTCCCAAGTCCTATTCCAGCCAGACTGTCCAGAAAGATACTATGGCTGCTGGTTCTGAAGGCAGCTGTGAGATCCAGAAGAATGAATAAAGAATACACTGCCCTGCTTTAAGTTCATTTGAATAAAACCAGAAAGCTGTACTTCAAAGGCAAGGCTATTGGCCAGTAGTATTTAATGAAGTTGTTTGAAGAAGAGCTTAAGGCCATGATATTAATGCAATACCAACTTATCTGGCAAGCTGACTACCATATGCCCATTATTTCAGTCACTTGTAAATCCAGCCCCTGGCAAAGAAAAAAAATCTTACATTAAAAAAAAAAAATCCATCTGTTCGGTTGTTTGAAGAGGGCTTTGTCTTGCAAGCTCTCACTGTGATTGGAAGCACTGAAACTTAAAGCAAGCAAGAATCCTCTTTCGATGCTTCCAAAATGCAGTTCCTTTTAAGGGATTCCATTGCACTTTCATGCCTTTGGAGGTTTCAAAACAAAATCATCCCTCCCTTTCCTTCCAAAACGTATTTCCTTAACCTTGGATTCCTAAAGAGAGTTGTTTCTGCAAAGTGTTTTTTATTAATAGTTTAGCTTTTTAATAATCATCATCATCATCATCATCGGTTAATGTCATCAGGATGCTCAGACATAAGAAGCTGCCTTAGACTGAGTCAGTTCATTGGTCCATCTAATTCAGTATCCTTGACACTGATTGGCAGCAGCTGTTCATTTTCAATCAAGAGCAAAATGTCTAGGGACTCCAAGATGAAATGGGGCAGGATGATCAGGGAGCCTGCAGACATGCCAGTAAGTCTCTGGGCAATATGAGGGTTGCAGGTTAGACTGGGAGCTACATTGCATGACCTTACCTGAACACCTGCACACAACTTCCAATCAAACCCTTTAAGTATCTATCACATGGACTGCAAGACAAGTCTTTCGTTTTGCAAGAGTCAGAAAGACATGCTATGGGGGAGCTGGTGTTGATGGTACTTGTTTGGGCTGTGGCCCATTCATATCCCACAGCCACCGCCGCCCACAGTGCAAATTGACAGTGAGGGGAGCAGAGGCTGAAAACGTGCCAGGATGTTTGTAGTACAGTGTGCTGTGCAGGGTTTAATCCCATGTACCTATACTTGAGAAAGACTGACAGATGAACAAGCAATGCAGGCATCAAGAAGCAAAAACACGAGTATAAATTCATATTCATATATCAAGGTGAAGTGATTTCAGTGTACCACTGCAAACTTCCAATAGGTTAGGTGCTTCCTTGAAATTGTTATTCATTACATTCACTGCATGAGATTTCTTTAAGACAACAATTTGGAGGACTACTGGATAACACAGGAGCCAACACTTATTGTAGACGTAAGTGAAGTTAGAATCTTCATGGAGAAACCTCTTTACACTGGATTGTTATAAGGTGCCTCATTCGATGTTGTACACTTGTGTTTTCTCTACAAAATGGGTTAGTAGACTGGCGTCTATTAACCATGGAGGGGTGGTCTCCCTTTATAGAGGGGTAGTTGTTACATTTAAAACAACATGGATCCTTGCGGCAACTTAAAGACTAACAAATGTATTCTGCCATAAGCTTTTGTGGACACTTTTCACTTCTCAAACTTGTTATGATTATAAAATGACACCATTTGATAACTCAGTGTTCTAAACCATGTTTCCCTTCCCATGCAGTTGTTCCTTCTGTGTTGCTATGTGCTTCAGCATGAAAATGCATATAGGTAGCATAGGTACATAGTTATAGGTAACTACCTCATGGGTGTGTTATTTTATATGATACACTGTTTGCTTTCCAGAGAGCTTTCTGGTATGCACCCTTTGTTTGCCATCCTGGATTTCATAGGCTTAGAGAAAGGGAGGCTTAGCTGGTATATACAGCTGCAGGTGAACTAATTTACCTTTTGGTGCCCTCCAACTTTCCAAATCTGCAAATAGGCAAACTCTTAGAAGACTGCAGGACTTTGACAGCAGAAGCTGCTGCCAATCAAGACTGACTGAGCTGGAAAATAGCTCTGTAGAACAACATGAGCGGTATGCCCTGGGAACTATGTCCAAAACAGGTTGCTGTACAACAGGGTCACATGGCGTCAGCCAAGCTGCCAGACGTCTTGCCTCCAGTCTGCCTGTCTCATGATCAGTGACATGAATTCAAATTTGCCTAAAATTAGTAACAAGAAAACAGAACGTGCTAAAAGACACACAGAAGGAAGTGTGTGAAAAGATTCTTTCTATATAGGAATGATGTTATGTCTCTGGGGAGCATTTACCCTAACTATGATATTTTCTTTGCTTAAAATCCAGTGCCTTCCTCCAGGGGCAATGCTATGTATGGAAAAGATCGGGGACTTAGGTCTACAAAACAGGAACAACAATGCACAAATTTGCATATGCTAATTTACATTTGCTCTCAGTGTGTATGTTTTTTAAAAAATTGTGTCCCCTCAATTTGTAAAATGGGATTTTGGCACAAAAGAGATGAAACCATTTGATTTCAGAAAAAAAAAATCTCCTGCAGAAAGATTTGCAGGGCAGCAGGAGGTAAAACACATGTGATAAAACCAGCTAATCCAGGGGAACTGGATGCAACAGAGATCAGCAGGACCCCTGCGATTTTATTTGCTGTGGTGTTTGTTTTATTCTACTCATTTTTTGTACTATGTCCCAAGATGTTTGTAGTGGATGGATTAGAAAAGCTTTTAATAAATAAATAATAAAATAAAAATATTTTAAAGGGCTGAATGTGGACATCCTGGTATATTATCTCTAGGTATTTGCATAAGGGAGGACACTTGGCATATTTTTTAAGTGAAGGGTAGGAAATCGTGTCTTTCTCCTACATGACATCACAGCATGCCATATGGCATTGCCTTCCTTTGTCCAGCTAGTTTCTGTGCTAGCTGGGGAGTTGTGGTCCAGCACATCTGGGGAGCACCAAGTTGGGCAAGGCAAATATATGTGTCATGATAATGTGAGCATATAAACCTTAATGAAAATCATCAATATGACTTTCTCTCTCCTCGCTCTTCTGGAGATTATAAGTGAAGGTGTCCTAGCAGTGTTGTCTAAAGTTATCAGTTGCTCGAGTTGATAAGGGTGGTTTAAAGAATGAACACAATGTGATAACAAAGAATTGTGGGTAAAGGATCACATTTTGTAAGGGTTTTTTTTTTTTTTTAAGATGAGGCTGTCTGTTCTCAGCTGCTCCCACAAAGCTCTCACACATTATCAACTGAGCCACTTCCTGCTCTGCTCTTCAGCAGGGAACAACAGCAAACTGAGCTACAGGGACTGTTGCACGGATAGTCCTTTCAGATCATATCACAAGCATGCTAGCAGGAAATGGTGAAAGCAGCTTTCCTGCCCTTATCCTTAGTAACATCAGCAAGAACCCTAAAAACAAGATTTTGGCCCGCAGTGCCATCAGCCACCACAGGATTCATGGCATATATGTTTCTGATCTGTACCTTGGATCAATTAGAAGAAATCACTAGAAATCATCAATATCCAATTCTTGCTAAAATACATAGCATAGCATTGGTGACTACTTCCACTGTCTCTGACATTTAAACATGAAAGTATTTGTAGAGCTTTTGTGCACACACAGACCAAGCCCAAGTAGCAGAGCCACCTTCATGATGTTTGATAACCCTCTCCTTGCTATTTCTCAAGAACGTTTTGTCCCAGAAGATATCAAAGCCCCTTTCAAACACCATGGTCAAAGCTTCTGTTTTCCAGATTCAGCTGCTTCTTCTGTTGACCACTGTTTACATGTACCGGTAACCTCCTGTCTAGGCCACTATAAAGCCATGTCCATAAAGCTGTCTGATAAGACTACTCGTATTTGGAAAGTGCCTTTGTATGTCTCAGTATAGACATCGCATTGCAACATGGTGCCTACAGCAAGGCACAGTGTTGAGAAGAATGTAATTTATCCATACTGGACTTCTATCCATAATCCCACCTACAAGAGGCAGCAGTGGGTTCCCTTTCTGGCTGCTTCATTGTACATGGATGGAGTGGATGGCATGATGGAGATGTTTTGGCCACTGCTGTACACTAGTTTAGTCTTTTCTGTACCTACATGATTATATCAAGCCAAAATAAGGATTGGTTTAGTGACAGCAAAGTTTTCAGGGAATCCATAGAAGCATGTCAGCATTGCAATGTTTAGCTTTTGCTTTTTCTCATCTATTGTACTGTTGACATTTACATTGGTTTTGCTTAGGATTGTGACTACATTACAGTAGTGTTAGTTGTGGCATAGCAGTCATTGATGCAGTGGGACAATTAGATTAGCCTGCCCAAGTGGTTGGCATCATAAGGGCCTAAGTAATTGCAATGCAAGTTCAACTGAAGATCCCCTGAGCTGTTGGACAGAAATAACTTTCCTGTGACTTTCCTGTTATTTCCTCAAAAACACTATCCTCTTCCTTTCAGTCTTTCCTATCACACCAAGAAGCATGGAAGCCATTGCAAATTTTGATTTCAAGGCATCAGGAGAAGATGAATTGAGTTTCCGGGCTGGAGACATCCTGAAGGTAAGCACCAACCAAAGGTTCACCAGATCATTTTCTATTCAACACTGTTCAATACTTCTAAGTGCTTGTGTCTTTCTATTAAGCATCCATTCCAGAAGCCAGTAAACTTGAATTGGTTCTTAAACTGGGCATTTGTGGGCCAGAGATTCACTGATAGTTGCTAGGCTGCAATGGAAAGTTTTTTCCACTCCTTATTCTATCTTTATTGTTCTTGCTCATCTTTGAAATGCAAATTCAAAGTATTTGCTCAAGATTTCAAGTGGTGAATGCTACAAGGATATCAAGCAATTGCAAAACATGGATGAGGCATTCACAAGGCAATCTTTTGTGGACAATTTCCAGAGGAACTGAACAATACAAGCAACAGTATTGTTTTCCAATGCTTTCAGCATCCATACAGAATAGTATAAACATAAATATGAAATATACTTCTCACATAACATGTACATATGAAGTTGGAGAATCCTGAGTTATTTTCAGTGCTGTGAATCAGTGCTGTGCAATATAAGCACAGCACTGATGTACAGAGATTAAAGAGGCAGGAAGAATAAAGCCAACTAAAGGGCGGAAACCTAGTTCCCCACGCAGACCTCCTTCTCTAAAACAAATGATCTGAAACAAGTTCGCCATTTATTTCTCTGGAAACCGAGTTCCAAGAACTCAGGCATTAAATAACAACAGCTTTTAGTATTGTCGCAGTTTGAGTATAAATTGTTCCAGGAGGGGTGGGGGGACTAGCTGCATTAAGTATGGGCATAAAATCAGCTACTGTTGTACCTAATGTAGCCTGTACTTACCTGTACAAATCTTCAGCAGTTTGGTTTGACATGACAGTGTCAAGTTTCAGATAAAGATTAATTTGTTATTTGTTCTGTGATAAAAATGAGAGGAGCTTTTCCATGGCGAATGCAGATGCAGCAAGCACATTGCTCTGTTACCTTATGCATTTTAGTCATTTATACCAAGTGAAAAGATCTTAAAATGTTACCAGGTTAGGAAAGCTGTTGATGTTCACTAAACCTGAAGTGATAAAGCCAAAGGACAAGGCCGCAATTCAACACGGACAGGAACATGTTTCAGAATATTGAAATCAATGGACCTAGGCGCATTTTTCATCATTGCCTTAGTTGAATGTGCATTTCCAATTCAAGGGCAGTGGAACAGGACATGGGACCTTTCATGATGACTTCAGTAAAAGCAGGCCTACAATTGTTCTAATTCATTCAGGTTCAAATATCAACGTCTGAGCCATTTCCTCTACTATTCCTCAGATGCCTCAGAACTAGACAGTTAAAATGCAATATTATGCACTTACCTGAAGGAAAGTTCTACTGAAATTGATAGAAACTTTTTCAGTGTAAGCATGTTCTCTTGTTGCCTTGCTGCATGTCTCTAAAGCTGGAATAATACACAGAAGTTGACTGCACATGAACACCTAGCCATACATGCCCATTATATACCAGAATTGTTTTAGGTTTCCTCTCTCTATCGTTAAACTGGTATTTCTGAGATGCAGACCACTAAAAACAAGCAACCTATTAAAAGCCTCACACAGAACTCCTTGAGCTTACTGTAAAATCTTCAAAGCACAACTCCTTCATCACAGACACATTAGAAATGAATTGTCAAAATCCTTCACCATCTGAACAAGTCCACAGGAATTTGGACAAAACTAATGAGCACTTCCTCTAATACCTCCCTATCTTGTTCATACCTTTTTGTTCTTCTAAAGGCACCTTTACTCCTTGGCTGCTGTTTCCTGATACTAGGAACACTGCAATACCAACTAGTCTACATACATCATTTCAAATTTCCTGTTGTTTCCTTTCCCTTTTAGTATATTGTCCTTCCTTGAAGTCTTGCTAGGACAGGCCTAAATTAATTAATAGGCTAACTATAGTACAGGTCAGGATGTGAGCCAAGTTGAGGTCTTTTGTAGTGGTTGTGGTTAGAGGACAGGCCTGCCCTACTTTCTCGACCAGCCTTATTTTAAGCATCCCCACAACCAGCACGTGTTGACTTGTGCTTTTAACTTCTGACAGGAGAGCAGCTGCCATATCATGGGGAAATTTGTAACAGCGTTATCAGGCAGGGCAGAAGTACTAGCAGATGTAGCTACAAATCTAATTTATGGAGATAGAATGCACAGCCACTCAGTTAAAACTAATGCAGCTGCTTATTCTTTGCCAAGTCAACCTTTCTGGCCAAGTAGGTGCATGTGTGTACATGGATGGCTCCTGTAGGGATTTCTTATTAACAAATCATGCAACATGAAGACAAGTTTTACTAGACTAACACTTCTACCAGGGGCTTGATATTCTTTTCAACCTAAAGTCTGCCTTTGCTTAAAGAGACGGAATTACATCCATCTCTCTGTAAGATAATTCTCTCTCTCTATCTCACTGTCCTTCTTGCACCCTTCTCAGTACGCAGAGAACAACCATTTCCCGCATTACCACCTGCTCACCCTGCTGCCTCCTTGCATGCCCTGCTCTTCTCAGCCAAGCAGATGCCACCTCCCTCATTATTGCCACCCTCAGTTGCAATGCTCAGCAACACTGGGGGAACAACTGAGAGTAGGAGAAATGGGCTTCAGAGAAGGGAACAAGAAGCATGAGGAGGTATTGCAGAAATGGATGGATAAAGATTCCTGGCAGGTCACATCCAGCTCATTAGCTGGAGTTCCCCATTCTTGCCGTGTACTTACCATTTTCGGGGGTGAATTTACCACTCCTTTGACTGCTTCTTGGCAATTAATCAAAGGTCAAGAATTGACAGCCTATTTCATGATTTGGATAATTTCACACAATCAGGCAGCACACTGGTAGCCTGCTGTGCATCAATACCTGCTGTGCATCACTGCCTCCAAGCAAGCATTTTGTGCATGCAGTCCTGCTTGAGGAGCTGCAATGCACTGCAAAGCTCCAGCTCCCAAGCAAGCCTGTGCATGTCACCCTCTATCTAATGGACTTTCTCTTTGCAAATGCATGGAGGCAGAGCATAACATGTGAAGGGGGATCTTGCCCTAAAAGTTGGGCTGTGTTTTTTCATTTCTCAGGGGAATTAAAAGAAAAGTTCTTTTCAGAACACAGCTGCAGTTTAGTCATATCCTTACTGACAAGCTGACAATGAATGGTTTCAAACAACACAATAACCCGCATTAAAGAGCTGAGTATCTTTATTGTTGATGCATGGATTGCTGTTGAAACATAGGTTATCACATTGTCTGAACCTAGCTCTGCTAACAAGCCATGGCTTGTTGACCATGAGCAATCCATAAAGAGAGCCCATTGTTTGTTGTTGGGTTATGGACTGTGGGTTGTTTGGCATGGTTTGTTATCTACACTGGTTCAGACAACATGGGGGGTTACCATGCTTTCTGAATCCAGGCACTCACCAACAGTGGAGAGCATGCCAGGTGGCTCAGAGCAGCATGGGACCTTCAAAACCCAGGCTAAGCACAAAGACAATCTGCCCTTTAAAGGAAACCTGTTTCTCCCTTTGTTGTACAGATCTTAAGCTCTCAAGAAAATTGGTACAAGGCTGAGCTAAACAGCTATGAAGGATATGTCCCAAAGAATTACATAGATCTTCACACTCCCAGGTAAGTACTATCACTACTTTTACGCTAGTTTTTCCAAACTGTTTTAGCTGCATATATATTTGAGAAATAATTTAGCAAAAAGCACTAGGGGAAAAAAAGTGGGGGGCATGTCATAGAAAACAATTTTGGTACAGCTTTGCCCATATTTTTCACACCTGTCCATCTCATTGTCCATCCAGAAGAATACATAACCCTGTTCTCAGCTAAACGATGGCTTCCTAACGGTAGCTCACAGAAATACTAATATCGTTGATGTGGCTCCCATTCAACAGAAGCTTGTTTGTGTATAACAGGAGCAAAGCCTGAAAGAAACCAATGAGGAGATTATTATGTTCTCAAAGTATGTTATACAAATGGCAGCCCTTCCACTCCCTGCCTAATAAGGCCAGTGCAATTGTACAAGCAGTCCACATGGATGCCGTCTGAAAAGCATGCTTCCAGGGTTCTTGTAAAGCCACAGAGGGTGTAAGGCTCCACAACCCTTGGATCATATAAGGGCTGTCCATAAACACAGCGCCACTGATGTAGTGATAAATGTTGAATTGCAGGTACTCATCATGACAATCCACATAACCAGGACCCCCAAGGAGAGTTCAAAGATGCAGACAGCTCTGTTGATCCATATCAAGGAATCAGTTCTAGCCGTTTTTAACTCTACCAGGGGCAGGATTTTTGTAAAGCCAATGGATCTTTATTGCCCATTCAAGGCCGAGCAATCCCTATATACAGTAGATTACAACAGGGACAATATATCGTTGCTGGGAAAATCCATTCTCTACCCACTCACAGATGTCTGAGCAATAGGACAGATGACATCACTGCCCCTGTTAATCCAAAAATCTCTGCACTGCATCTCTGTGAATTCTAGCTCTACTACACCATTGAGCAAGCTCATGCATTGATGGTGGGGGAATAAGATCATGCTCAGGTGTCATGCCACTGACGCATGTCCCCACCATTCCAACATCTCCCATGCACTGGGGCGCCTGAGAAGTGGGTATCCTACTGCCATACCAACATACACAGAAAGAGCGTATCCATTAAGACATGGAGAAGCTCTAAGCACGCACATTGCTGCACATGTACAGCCCTTCCCTGCACAAGAAATGCGAGAATGACAGAGCGGCATGGCTGCTGGGCACGTCAGTGGCGTGGGAGAGGGCTTGCCCCCTCCCATGCTCTTTGGAAGGACAGACACAACTGTAGGTTTTTTCCCAGTACACATATAACCTGCATTCTTCCATCATGGAATGCAAGGCAACATGGAAAGAATTCCTAGGCTCCCATCCAGGCATTGACCAGACCCATTCCTGCTTAGCTTTAGCAAAGCCGCTGTTTCATGTGCCTTTACCATCCCCTGCGTTCTACAGAGGATTTTGCTCATTGTCGGATCAAATGAGTGACTAGTCATTGCTCTGGCTCAGCAGTTTGAGCAACTGGGCCGCAGCACTCTTAAGAGAGCATAACTCGTCTCAGCCTATGATCCCAACCGGAGACATTCACCTTTCTCTTTAACCTCCCATTGGCAATGTGATGCTACACGGACGCTTTTTGAGACACACACTTTACACTCAGTGCAACTGGTTGTTTTGAGGCTCAGAAGGTGGGGCCAGCAAGCTGCAGCTCAGTTCTACAAAGGTAGTTTGTTAGGCATGCATGGAGCAGAAAGAGACATCTCTGCTCAGTTGTCAAGTACAGGGTACCACTTTAGCTTCCCTAAATTAGGGTTTGTGCCTTAACTGCTGAAGTACTTCATCTACCAGTCCTTTGTGTCAAAGGAGACATACAAAGATGGAATAGAAGGTCCTTGTTGGCAGCCTGTAAAAAAAGGTAGCCCTGGGATAGTTGCTACACAAAGTAACACTGTGAAAAGGGCCTTAGTAAGGGAACGCCTAAGGGAACTTCTTCACTAAGCAAAGAGCTTCTACAAAATGTACAGTATAACATTTATTTAATTATTTAAAAGATTTGTATGCCACCCATTACTGTCATCTAGGGACAGCTTACAACATTATTTCAGAATAAAATAAATTAACTATTCCACACTGAGCCTCATTTAAAATATATAAATCATATCACTAAAATTGTATGTTAAAATATTGGCCAAATAAAAGGTCTTGACCTGGTGCCAAAAAACATATAATGATGGCGCCAGGCAGAGCTCTCTAGGGAGCGCATTCCAGAGTTAGGGCACCACTGCAGAGAAGGCCCTCCTCCGGGTACTCTGTCTCCTGATGTCTTTCAAAGAGGTTCCCAGAGGAGGGCCTCTGCTGCCAATCTTAGGGGGCAGGAAGGCATGTAGGGAAAAAGACGTTCCTTTAAGTATCCTGGTCCCAAGCCATTTAGGGCTTTATAGGTAATAACCAGCACCTTGAATTGAGCCCGGACTTTGATGGGAAGCCAATGGAGCTGATAGAGGACTGGGGTTATATGAGAATAAATACCAGTCCCTGACAGCATCCTGACAGCTATATTTTGCACCATCTGAAGTATCCGGACTGTCTTCAAGGGCAGCCCCACGTAGAGCGCATTACAGTAATCCAGATGGGAAGTAACCAATGCGTGTGTCACTGTGCTAGGCAGTTCTCCTCCAGGTAGGGACACAGCTGATAGATTAGCTGAAGCTGAAGAAAAGTGCTCCTCGCCACCGCCGTCACCTGGGCTTCCAAGGACAGCTCTGGGTCAAGGAGCACTCCCAAGCTGTGGACCCTGTCCTTTAGAGGGAGTGCAACCCCATCCAGAGCAGGGCCCAAGTCACTTACCCGGAAGCTCGACTCACCAACCAACAGGACCTCCGTCTTATCTGGATTGAGCTTCAATTTATTGACCCTCATCCAGCCCATTACCTTGGCCAGGCACCGGTTCAGGACAGCCACTGCCTCAACTGGATTAAGAGATGGGCAGGAGATGGGAGATGGGCAGCAGAGGATAAAACAGAGTCACTTGGGACCAGGACAACAGAACTTGCATCAAGACAGAGCCCAAAGTCCAACAGTAAGGTTCAAGTCTTAGTCACAGAACAGGCCAAAGTCAGGAACAAGGAAATGAAGACAAGGATGCAGCCATGAACAAGCCAAGGGTTGAGAACCAGGAAGACAAACAGAGTTGCAGGTACCTTGCGGCAGGATACACAGCAAGGGACAGGCAAGAGGCAGGAGATGACTCACAGCTCCCAGAAAGCCATGCATTGCTGAGGTGACAGCTAGACAAGATAGGCAGCAAGGTGCAGGCATTGCAGCAAACAGGAAGACCTGCATTGCAGGAGCAACTCGGCAAGGCAAGGTGTAGGCACTAAAGTGCACAGGAAGGCCTGCATTGCTGCGGGGAGAGCTTGCTCTTATACAGCTTTTCCCCCAGGGATCCCAACTGGTGCTGATCAGGAGGCTGAGAGCTCCAGCAAACCCTGAGAGGGATCCTGGAATACTGGTACTGGTTCTGGTTCTGACCACCAGCTGAAGCCCCAGAGCAACCCAGGCCTGGGTTTATCAACATACTATTTATGGCTGAAGCTGCACAGATCTGCAGTTGGCCAGTGCAGAAGCCTGAGGTACTGGATTGTGAACCCCATTTTTTTGTGCAAGCCCCTAAGTGACCGTGAGCTTTCTTCTTTAAAACCCCCATCAAATCACCTCTTGTTACTCAAACATACCAGAGGTTGCTAACATTGAAGTGCCTTCAGCAATTATCTCCAACCCTGGTTGTGGAGACACACCACTGAGTGTATTGGTTAGACTGTCTCAGAGTAGGACTGAAAAGACCTGAGTTCAAATTTCACCCACTTACCTGGTGGATACTCACCAGGTATTTATTTATTTATTTTAAAAAATTGTATCTCGCTCCTTACAGTGTCTCAGAGCCGTAACCCCGGACCAATCCTTGGTGGGGAAACATATCACAACAAGCAACCCTATGTGGTTTCCATGGTGATGTGTGGTGTTTGGGGAGGTTTTTGGCCTGGATGTGCCTGATTGACAATTATTGGCTTCTCTGCTAGTGTGGTTTCCATCCGCCTCACTCAATCTTCCTGGTGTTGGCTCATTTCCCATTAGCCAGCACTCCTGAAATTCAACTCCACACTGGATGGCTGGAGCCACTCCTGCAGGAACTGCTATTCTTTGCAGGAAACTCTGTGGCAGGAACATGGAAATCACAGTGCCAGGGTTGGACATTCAGAGAAACCATGGTGAAAGAGGAAACCATGGATACCATGACATAGTTCAGTCAACACAGCAACCACCTGTCTCTCAGCCAAAACTAATTCTCAGAGTTATTGTTATTATGGGGGTGGGTAGAACCATGGGCACTACCTTGCACTCCATGAGAAAAGGTGGAATATAAATCTAGTGTGTGTGTGTATACATATGTGTATGTGTGTGTATTTACAATCCTTTTCAGGTTTATATAGGCACACTTGTACGCACTCCTCTCTTAACTAAACACTACTGCAGCCTTTTCTGTTATAAAGCAATGCTTCTAAAAGTGTTGTCCAATAGGAGAGAACATCTGCCTTGTGGCTTGACTTCAGCAGGCAAAATACCTCGCCCATGTAGGTTTCTAAAGCATTGTTTGCATATTATCAACTCGCATGCTTTGAGACACTGGGAGAATTGTCCCTCATGTGAATGTGTTGCACCACTGCCCCCTGCTGGGTGAAACAAAAAGGACCTATTAGCATAGGCCCAGCTGCTAGTAGTTGGGGGGTAAACAGAGAGAGAGAGAGAGAGAGAGAGAGAGAGAGAGAGAGAGAGAGAGAGAGAGAGAGGTCTATATTTAATGCTAGGCTCAGTCAGATGTAATCCTCTTCTCCTTGAAGAAGTGCCTTTGTCTCAGTGTGCCTTATTAGGGTACCACATGCTGATCTGCTTCAGCTGCTTGAACTGAATAACCTGTTGCATTGTCTCCAACACACATACACACACACAAATAAAATCCTTCTTCTAACAAGTGATTTAAAATGTATACACACATTTAAATGTCAGGATGGTATGTTTTCATTTTCCACTCTGAGCTGCAGAAGCACTTGAATTTTGATAGGGGTTTGCTTAATTTTGTTCACTCTGGACATTAGAAATAGATTGGAGGGATGTGCTGCTGTTTAAAAATCTTTTTTTTTCTTTAGCACACTGTGGTACATGACTCATTTGGATTTCAAAATGAGTCATGTGGCATTTCTGCCCATTGTATGCTTTATGTTTACCTGGTTTATGGGGAATCTTCTCTCCAATTCTTTTCCCATTATCAATTCATTTTGTGTCATGTGTTACACTTGGTAGCTGGTTCCAGGAAGGAGTAACCCGTCATGAGGCTGAGAAAATGCTCAGGGACAAAGAAATTGGCTCTTTCATCGTCCGAGCTAGTCAGAACTCCTCAGGAGACTTCTCCATCTCTGTCAGGTATCTCTGACTTCTGATTTTCTTTCATATCTTTTAAGGAAAAGTGATGTTGTGCAGGAGGAACATCTCTGTGGCAGGCAACTTAAGGCAGTGCTGCATTCTGTCTGTGTCTGGGAAAGAGCTGTATATTTCAAAAAAGGTTTCTTGCCACTTGCCTCCAAAAAGGCCTCCAAATAGCTTACAGTATCATAAAAATGCTGGGCAGTAAAATATACAATCAGCACTACCCTGTGTGTTACTAACTCAGAAGTAAGTCCTGTTTCGTCCAGTGGGGCTTACTCTTCAGTATGAGTAAAGTCTAAAAATTTCAGAAAACAAAAAGGCAATCTTAAAACAGCAGAACAGATTAAAGCAACTCCTGCAGCAGCCAACAGAGACTAGCCATTTCTGGAGGATTAGCTGTGCTAAGCTCTGTGTTACAACAAAAGCAACAGAGTCTTAAACTTACAGATTGATGAAGGTGTAAGTGTTCATGGACGGAGGTCCACTTCATTACATGTATGGAAAGTTATCCTAAGTTGGCAGGTATATATACTCAAGGTTTCCCTGGGGTTGGTGGGGATTTGAGGCCAAAAGGTCAAAGGGAATTACGGAAACCACCAATTGTGACAAATGTTTAAATGTCTATTTATGTAAAAGGAATACAGTACCATTCACAAAAAAAGTACAGGCAGTCCCCGGATTAGGAACACCTGAGTTACAAACAACCCATACTTACGAATGAACTACCATAAAGCCTATTAATTTTAAAAAAATTGAGTTACAGACAAATGGTTTGTACCTTCTGGAGTTTTGCGCCTACTGCAGAAATCATCTGCAGAGAGGAAGCGAGAGGGAGGCCTCCAAGGCTTGCTTTTTTGCCCAGGCAATCTGAAGAGGGAAATCTCTCTGGCATTGCCGTGCTGCAAAGAGGAGGCACTGGGGGGCAGGAGGGGCTACAGATATTTCCAGTCTTTCTTCTTTCGTGAGGATCCTGTGCCCCTAACCCCCATGAATGTGGAGGGCCAACTGTATAAGCAAGTGTTTCTTAAGTGCTTTATATTCATTTTATTTACATGATCTGGCTTACATACAAATTTGACTTAAAGACATTCTCAGGAACAGAACTCCTTCCTAACCCAGTAGGGAAAGCAGTTCATCCTCTGTCAGTCCAGGTGTAATGCAGCCTATTTATGAGAGCACTGCGGTTTGTGGCTTTGCTTTAAACTGAGTTATTTTACCCTGGTTTATTAGAATAACAGATGTCAAAGAAGTGAGTGCCACATTCCATCTTCTCCAACTACTCCTGGTTGTTCATAATAGGCTAGAGTTAAGTTAGTATGAACCCTATCCGGATCAGTCCCGCCAAACATTTGCAGGCTTCCTCTTCTGCTCAGCCCCATCTTATGAAGCAAGCTGAGCTGAGAGGAAGTGGGGCACAGGCCCACTTGTGCAGCCAGCAAGCTTCTTCCTGAGCAGCTGCAGCAGCTAGCACAGAAGAGAGACAGCATTTGTGGAATGGTTGCAGGCAGGCTGCCTTCCTGGCAAGTCCTTTGCAAGGAGACCGTTCTTTAGCGCCAACTGCAGCAGCATGCCCTGCGGACACTGGGCGCGCTTGCCAGGAACTCAGACCCTGGCAAACTGAGCCCAGGGAATCCAAAGATTTCCCACCTTCACCTGGATTCCTCACACATGCCTAGTCTATAGCACTTCCTTAATTTACTCAAAGGGACAATTAACTGATGACGTACACAGACACAGTTCCATGTAAGATCTCTTCCGATTGAAATTAATAGTTGTGATGGGACAGTTGTGATGGGGAGAATCTGTAACATGGCAAAAAGTTGTTAATCAGTATTTCATTACACTTCTATAACTGGAGCTCATTTTGTGATTTAAAACAGTTCATAAAAACAGTACAATAAATGCAATAAAATCCTATCAGAAATATGAACATTTTAAGAAAATTTAGAAACCACGAATAAACATGCAATGAAGAATAGCCCTATAAGAATACCTGGGATGAGTAATCCACTCAAGCCCTTGGATATTCCAGTATATCTTTAAAAGACATTGCATAAAAGGCTGTCTTAAGGTTGACAAGGTTGGCACCAGGCAGGCCTCATTGGGGAGGAGATTCTATAGAAGGAGGGGGACACCACAGAGAAATCACCCTCCCAGCTAACTCCAAGGCAAGTTAAAGCTCTTCTCTTCACCTTCCTCCTCCCCACCCACATCCATAGTGTGGCCTTAGTCCAAGTGAGAGGCCCTACAAGGGCTGGGGGTTTGTTTTTGATTTTGTTATTTTTGTTTTAAATAGCTATAGAATGCCAATTTATAAAACAATAACATGGTTAGATTGGCCCTTATGTTGGGATTTTTAAACATTGTTTTTGAACTCTAGCTGGTTTGCACCAGTCCTTGCATTTTCACAAGGAATCGAAGTATGAGATGCTTACTGTATAAAAGACATCCCTCTATGAATATTGTTAAAGCAGGATACAGAGCAGGATGGAATCACTGCTAGTTGTTTTGTTTTCTTCCCTTGGTATCCAGGCATGAAGACGACGTTCAGCACTTTAAAGTGATGAAGGACACAAAAGGGAACTACTTTTTATGGAGTGAGAAGTTCCAGTCACTAAATAAACTTGTGGAGTACTATAAGGTTGTTTCTATCTCCAAACATATGCAGATCTTCCTGCGGGAGGAGACCAAGAAAGAACAACAGGTACACCTTAGCGAGTTGAGTTTTTAAAGCAACCTGGGAAAAATGTCCACCCCTCTAGGGTGTTAAGATGCACAATGGTGTTTGATTGTTAGGAACTGTCCACCTGGAAGAGAACCTTAGATTGTTGGCATGGAAGCATGTCATTAGAAATGGGAATTAAAGTGACTTTTCCCATGAGACTGACCAAGCTATTCATTTTTTATGCAGGGACTGCTTCCATTGTATAATGCACATAACATTGTTCCTTCCACCTATTCTATATGCTATTGCTGAGATCCCTGCAATCCTTGAAGGCTAATCTATTTGACGTCCCCTCATCCAATAGTCTTAAATTTTTCCAGTTCCAGGAGCAACTTCTTAATTCACGGGAACATTGAATTCACCTATTTATTTTTTAATTCTATATGGCTCATGTTGTATACTGGGGGCTAGTCCTAATGACATTTCAGGGTCACTTACAGTCCAGTGCCTATGATTACAAATAGATTCAAGATCTTTTCCAGCCATGAAATATTGATTCTTAGGATTTCTGTTAGCAGATTTGTCAGTATGAGTTCCTTAAGGCAACCTCTTAAAGATCTACTGATAGCTAATAATGCAGAGAACCCGTGTGGGGTGTTCATTTGAATTTTGCACTGGGAAACTGGAATATGGGGGTTCTACTCCCCAATCATCTGTGAAGCTCACTGGGAGATTTGGGGCCAGTCACTCATTCTGAGCCTAATCTACCTTACAGGGATATTATTGTAGTGAGTGTAAAATGGAGTTATGTAGGCTACTCTGGGTACCTCACAAGAGGAAAAAGGTAAGTTATAAATGCAGTGTAATAACAACACTTGTGTGTTGTGTTTCAGTGGGCACTAAGAATGAGTCATCATTCTTCTCCCACTATAGATAGGGGGTTAGGAGTAAGAGAGCTGTATATGTAGCAGGAAGTCAGTCTGTGCTGGAAGAGGATCTGAGAGGAGGCAAGGAGCTGATTTTGCTCCCTGCAGGAAATTCTATGGCCATATGGGTACCCCTAGACATCTGATGAGGAGCAGGAATGTGCTGGAGAGCTGTGAACCCACTTCATATGTTCAGCCTGTATAAATATGTAAAACAGGGCTGGGAAACATGTGGCACTCCAGATGTTGGTGAACTGCAACTCCCATCAACTTTAGCCAGCATAGCCAGTGCAATAGATTATAGAAATTCCAGTTGGAGAACATCTGGAGGGCCAGATGTGTGCCATCCTTGGTGTAAATAAGCCTTATATTACAGAAACTCCCTAATCCCCCAGTTTCTTCATTCTAAGGAAGCTGAATCATGGTAACTGCTAGAAACTCTGAAACCTCTCACTACTTGGAAATGAGGTGCATATGCATGATTTTATCTTCCTAGTTTTCTTTCTAGAACCACTAGAGATCAGGACATCCTTAATAGCTACAGTTAATTTTGTGCATTGGTAGATTCCCTGGGTCATGGTGGGGAAAGAACAGAAATTCCCCTTTCTAAAAATCTCTTAAAACATAGTAGAGTTGCTGTCCTACTTGCCTCTGATCATGCTGTCTTTCTATTTCCCTCTCATACACACAAACCCACGCCCAATTACAGAAAGTGGTGGGCAGTGCCTCTGTTGTGACTCCTAATGAACTTAATGAAGAGCAGAGCCCTGACTAAGGCAGAGTTTGCCAGGGGCAGTGGGTCACGGGAAATCCTTTCCCCTTATTATAGCCTTCCCCAGAACAAGTCCAAAAGTGTTGGACTGCAGCTTTCATCTTTCCCAGCAAGCATGGCCTTAGGCTTGCTGGCTGGAGATTATGGGCGTTACAGGCCAAGCATTGTAGGAAGTATCAGGATCAGGAAGGCCATGCTACTAGAATGGAAGTTTCTTGCTAGCGTATAAGGGGGGAATAGGAAGTTACCACCTCTGAAGAACTTTGCTGCCTTGATGCTGGCACGGAGCCCCTTGGACAACAGAAGAGCAGATAGGCTTTCTTCCCTTCCTCAGATATGTTTGTACGTCAGCACTTTCCAAGCCTCAAGAGATCCAGTTACTGCACTTATGCATCTTAGCTTAATCTGTTATCTTCAGGAGAAGCAATAAAACTTACCTCTTACATTGCTTTGGGTGTTGCAAGGCTTTACATATATTACTTTGTAATGTAGATTAGTATTTTTATATCTACTTTGGAGGAGAAGAGGCTGAGATAGCAACGTGTGCAACAACCCAGACAGACATGGCATGGGAGATCTGTAACTAGGTTCCCTAGCTATTCATTTGCTCTAAAGCAACCAGTAAGGGCTCCAGTTCTTTAGCGCACTCACACACTGGCCTGTTACAGGCATGTTATTTTGTCCCAGTTAGGCGAAGAGCCGCATGAAGGTGTGTGATTTAGAGTGAGGGAATGTCATGAAGGTGGAAAAGTCAAAAAGAAAAAAGAAAAAGCAAAAATCTCCCCTATGGATTTCTCATTTTTCTATTTAAGCATGTTTGGTGGTTGCCCCAGCAGCCAAGCATCAGATAACAGCGCACATAGGGGCCATGCGCATGCTCGGAAAGGAGTAGCGGCACCAGGCAATGATGTCACGAGCCGTGACTCATTAGCCGCAACTCATCAGAGCTTTTGCAGTGCACTGCCAAGGACTGGCTGTGAGTTGTTTTTTCTAAACTAAAACCTCAGTTTTCAGGTTTTATTGCAGTGTTGGCACTTCGTGATTAATAAGTGGGTTTTGGGTTGCAGTTTGGGCACTCAGTCTGTAAAAGGTTCACCATCACTGCGTAAGGCTTAGAAAAATGAAGTGTCCTGGCATGATTTTGTTAGTTGGAATGTGTTTAGAATGGGCAGAAATGTTGAGCTGTGCAGAAAAAGCTACTCAAGGAAGGCTTTTTCAAAATTGCCCTCTTTTTAGTGGAACTTTTGCCCTATATTAGGGTTAGGGGTGTGCACCAGGGTAGGGTTAGGATTAGAAAAATGTGGTGTCCTAGTATGATTTTGATGGTTGGAATGTGTTTAGATTGGGCAGAAATGTTGAGCTGTGCAGAAAAAGCTACTCAAGGAAGGCTTTTTTCCAAAATCTCCCCTTTGAATTGTATTTTACCCTTATATTAGAGTTAGGGGAGTGCACCAGGGCAGGGTTAGGGCAGTGGTGGTGAATCTATGGCACACGTGCCACAGCAGGCATGCAGAGCCCTCTCTGTTGGCACACGAGCCAAGTCACCCCAGCAGCCGAGCATCAGATAACAGCGCACATAGGGGCCATGCGTATGCTCGGAAAGGAGTAGCGGAGCCAGCGATGATGTCACGAGCCGTGACTCATTAGCCATGACTCATTCGAGCTTTGCATGGCCAGTGTGCTGCCAAGGACACACACACACACACACTCACACACACACACACACTGCTTGGACTGGCTAAGAGTTACTGTTCTAAACTAAAACCTCAGTTTTCAGGTTTTATTGCAGTGTTGGCACTTTGCAATAAATAAGTGGGTTTTGGGTTGCAGTTTGGGTACTTGGTCTCTAAAAGGTTCACCATCACTGACCTAAGGTTATGTGGTAGAAGAGCAGGAAAGGAAACCTCGTGCTCAGCTCTTAACATCAAAAGTGCATACAGTGAATTAACAGCTTTCTTTAGGAAAATTCTAGTTGGAAAGAGGAACATCTTTTGGCTACTCAAAAGCGAGCCTTTTGATTATTGGGCAGTATTAAATAAAATAAAATAAAATTCTCATTTCTTAAACTGTTTGAATTTGAATATCGTAGATAGGGATTTGAAGATCAAGCTGGAATCAGGCTGTCTTGTGCTCACTGGACTTCTTTCTCATGCTTAGCCCTGGCCAGGAAGTGAGCCATGCTGAGGGCAGGTATGTGAACTCTTAGGAAAACTAGCAGCTTTTTTGAGCAAAATATTCAAATTATTATTATTATTATTATTATTATTATTATTATTATTATTATTAGAACATTTCTATGCCGCCCCTTGCCGAAGCCTCGGGGCAGCTTACAACACAATAAAATACAATAAAATACAAAAATAACAATATAAAATTAAAATTAACAATATAAAATAAATAAAAAATATAAAAGAAGTATAAAAGAATTCTTTGCACAAATACACAAGTCATGCGAAGAGATGCAGAACTCTCCTTGCACATAGGCCCACAGGCGGTGTGTGTGCAATCTAGGCTGGCCTGCACTTGCTTCCTGCTAGACGCCCACATGAACACTCCATCCAGGCCAGAGGGTTTCCCATCCCTGGTTTACAGGAACACGGGCAGAACGAGGTTAGATCCTATCAGTCTAGAATGGAAACAGCACTGTGTGTATTTCCATGGGGCTGTGCACTTTGTGGGCAGTGCTTACAGCAAGAGAAAAGCCATTCAAGTCTTAAGGAACCAATATATTCCACAAAAGAGAATGGAAGAATAATGATACAAAATGCTGTAATTCAATGCCAAAATAGTAATAGAATAGAACAATAGAAGACGGAAGCTCCTAAAGAAGTATTTATGCTGTTTTGTTGAAAGGACACCAAGTACACTTTCTTTTAGAGCCAAAGGGTGGTTTGTTTGTTTTTACTGTGAACTCTATTGTTTGCCGGCCTTTATTCACAAAGCAATCAGCCCAAAATTAAAATGAGGAAATGAGGTTTGAGACAGAGGTATGGCAAAAGTTATTGGAATGAAAGAGGCAGGTAAAATATTGCAAAACATATCTAGGAAGTGCAGAGTTTCTAGGCCACTGGCAAGTTGTTTAGGTCTATGCCAGAAGAATGAGGAAACAGCAGATCAGAGGCTGCAACCCATTACACACAACTGCAGTGCTGGGAATGCATGGTAACTACAGTAACCAAAAGCCTGCTTAACCAGAAAACACGCTCAGATATTAAATTACCAGGATGTGAATGCAGTGGCATAGCAGAAAATAGTATGTGCTTACAATAGCAATGACATTTTATAACCCACACTGTTCAAAGAAAAGCACTTGATTCCAAAGGGAAGGAATGATAGATTTCTGCATCTGACAGAGATCCCACCAGTTGTCCATTTTTAAAACAGTGTCATGGGATGTAAAGAAGGGCATTACAGAAAGATAAATACTGGGATGTAATACTATCAGCCAAAGAGGAGAGATTGAGTTGGAATGACAGAGGTGATAAAGCATCTTTAAAACAGAGACAGTTGAAGGTTAGTTATGGCCAGTATTTGCACTAATCACTTTGCATTGTAAAAACAACACCTTCCTGGCCTTGAGTTCCTCATTTGCATTAGTCTCCTTCTTTGCTTTCTCTTCTGCGTTAGTAATGATCATCACATGTTCACATAAATACTGCAAGAGGGGTTCAAAGGTGTTTTAAAATTCAAGCATGGAAATAAAAGTCCGATAGTGGCACCAAGTTATACATAGTAATGAAGGGTTCTATCTGGCTCCAACATTGGCCATACTTGCTAGGATTACTGGAGCTGTATGAATATTTGCACGTTCAGAAGCTAAAGGAAATTAAGCTTGAAATTTGATCCTGAATTGAAAATCAAAGAATTAGTGATTAGGATTGGAGACTTCCAATGCTCTGTACATGTTTAAACATTAAGAAATGTGTTTGAGAGTACCAGAGAGCAGAAATGGCCAAGACTCCTGTCTTCAGGGGTTTGTGAGTAAGATGAATTGTTTTAAAAGTATTAATGTACCACCATTGGTCATGACTCAGTATGTTTAGGGATTTGAGTTTCTTTATACATGTTTAATATACCAATCTGGATGCTAAACACAGGCCAGGTTCAGATGACATGCCATGATTCATCAGCCATTAAATAACCCATTCAGGATGTATAGTCAGAACCATGGTTTCTGGATCAAGAGAGGTGCTAGTACCCCTAGGATATGGAATGGGCTTCCACAGGAGCCCCATCAGTGAGGGTGTTCAAGGAAAGATTGGACAATCACATGTTGGGGATTACATGAGCAGAGCCAGCTGGAGTCAGGATCAGACTAGATGCCCCAGGAGACCCCTTCTGACTCTCTATGTTTTTATGGCACCTGTGGGCACTGGGTTGCATATCCAACCCCCACATTGTGTTAGTTGTGTTATGTTAACCCAGCGTGCATGGATTATACGTTGGTTAAGCAAGTTTTTAACTGCCAGATAACCGACACTCACCAAATTCATATGATATGACAAACCCCAAGTAGGGGTTGAATAATCAAAATGGTGACTATACAAACTTTACACTCGCAGCAGCCTCACCAGGGGTTAAATAACCCACAGTGAACTGTTGTGTCCATCACTGTGTCCTGTGAATGGCCCCAGAGGGTCAAAATTGTGTGATTTGTAGTGTGGGAGTGGACAGGCCTCCCACATCAGGCAGAGGGAACATCTGTGAGCAAAACCCTTCCTTCTACAGAAGGCATCCTTTGGATCCAGCCCACTGGAAAGATAAGTGCTAAATATTAAAAAAAATCTTATAAACATTACTATGTTTGTAAGTAGGTACCAGAAATGCAAACAGTACACCATCTCTCTCCCCATCAGTTACATGAACTTTCTGGTGGTTTCCATCCAGCTTGCAGGTCCTTTTTGTTACTTAGCTTTGATAAAAGATGGTTCTGAAGAGTCTGCACGTACAACATTCCCAGCCCAAGCTCCCAGATGAGCTGTGGCTAAGAGCATTTCCATATATTTGGTTTACATTGCCATGAATCTATCTCATGCCATTTATTATTTGACTGCCTTCATCACTGTTGACTTGGAAGGAGAGCATTTGTAGTGCAGATAAGCATTATATTCAGCATAGCTTATGTATTTGCATGGCAAAGCATTAACTATCATGTAAAACAAGTGAGAAACCGACAGAGTCTTGTGGCATCTTATACAAACCTACCAAAGGCCTATCTGTTGGGGATGAAAGGGCCAGTTATTCCTGGCCCATATTCCAAGGTCAGGCAGATATGGATTTGGCCTTGTCAAGTGGTCCTGGGATCCAAAATTCCCAGATACTGAAATGGAAGTAGCAGAGGGGCTTATCTCAAGGGCACCCTCCCAAGCTGTTCATGTGAATGTTGAGAATAGTCAGGATTTACAGCTGCAGGGAGGGGGCATGGGAAAAGACCTCCTGCAGCCAGCCCAGCCTGGCATGACCCTTGATCCCATGACACAGCATTGGGAGAGATGGGCCAACCAACTAGAGGGGGACAGACAGATAAAAAGCTGGACTGCCTCCATAAGGGACATCCCAGAGGAGAATGTTGGAAAGTAGTTGTTAGATTGGGTTCAATGAACTTCTCTGTGCATGCTCAGAGACTCATTCTTTGGTGGTTGTGCTTACTAGAAGTGCTCTAGAGAATAAAGTACTTTTGCCAAAGAATGGTCTGTATTCAAAGTGCCAAGGGGGTGAATCTGGCTCATGACCCTATTTCAGCATTCAATTCTCACAATGGTCAACCAGACAGATCAACCGCTGGGGTGTTTAGCCCCTTATCAACCCAGTTCTCCAGGATCATATGTCACGTTCCACAACCTATGAAAAGGCCATTGTGGGTTTACAGTAAAAGAGGTGGATGCACGGTAGGCAGCATGCCTTCACTTTCCTGCTCCTCCCCAACAATGCTTTGGTTTTCAAGGCCTGAATTCTTCACAATCCTTTCCAGCTCTTTCAAAGTCAAGGTCTGAGTATAACCTCTCAAAAACATACTCCCCATGGACAAGAATACCTAGAAGGAAGTTTAAAACCTAAAAGAAGGAATTTATCTTTCTTTCCAGGAAGCATGTGTTTTGAAGCAGACCAAAAAGAAACAGGACATGAATTACCCACCTGCAAAGGAAGCAGGAGCATCAGGATACAAGAAAGATGTGGGTCAATGTACTCCTTTGCACCACAAGCAGGTAATACAGTAAGGGCAGAATTAGGCTTGGGGTCGAAACAAGTGCTAGAATGAGGATGGGAAACCTTAGTCCCAGGGGCCAAATCTGGCCCCCTGGGATTCCTCAGATAGCTACACTCCCTTTGTTCTGGCTTCCAAGCATTAGGTGAATTTCTGGTTTTTATGTATTCCTGCCCCCTCCCCCATTCTTAGAGGCTGCAATGCCTCTCCTAAGGTCTGGTTAGTGGCTTCATCCCCTTTGCCTTTGGACACACACCTTTACTTTTGGTCTTGCTCAGCACTGGAATGCAGCTCCCACCCCCATCCCAAGATTCTCTGAAACTGAACTTAGCCCTTGGGCTGAAAGAAGTCAACACACCAGTACTAGACTATGCTTATTTAAGGGCCGTGGCATGCAGGATACGAGCTTCATCACACCACCTCTGACTTCATGTTTGCATGATTTTGGAATTATATTTAGTCTTGCAAAGCAGTGGCCCAAACTGATATGCCTGACCTGAAAATTGATTACACATAATGATCTGCATCTCCAAACATAGTAAAAGCAAAATTAACCTACATTAGTTCATTTTTCCCCAGATTCTCTCCACCTTTTTATGTGACATGAATGGTAGAACTGCATGTGTGTATATTTATACAAATATTTAAATCTGAGATTCCTAGCTGATGTAGATGGGAGATGTCATCTGGTATAGAAGGGGCAGGCTCCCCCTTCAATCTGGATATTCTGCAGCATGGAAATACTTCACAATCCAAGTAAAAGGGAGTAAAAATGCCCAAGCTACACCATGTATACACAACACCAGCCTCTGTAAAGAAAGGCATGGAAGCTAAATCCCATAAAAACAAAACTCTGCTGTTTATGATTCATATGTCTGCTATGATGCAGAAAATTGAACAAAACACATACACACACACACAAAACCTCCTGCTTTAAAGCCAAACTGAGTTTGACTTATTCTTAACATCTCTTGCAAAGAACAATTGACATACCTCTCCGTATTGAGTTACACTGACCTTTTGTGTTGGCTAAAATACAGAGAAGAGACCCTCTGGGGCAATTTGAAATGTTACATTTTGTAAAAGGAAATTGGAAAATACTTCCAGAGCAAACAAGGATGTTGGGAGATCCAGAGGGCAGTAGTTATTTCATGGAGAATAGAGCCTATTATACAGCTTGACTTCCAGCAGATAAATGTGGCAACAGAGCTTTTTGACAAAAGCAAAGCTCTGGAGTGGCCAAAACACTGCAGATAATAATAGATGCTGCCACACATTTGAATGCCTCCCCCATCCATAAATAGTCCAGGCATCAATGAAGTGCTATTTGAGAGAGAAGAAATCCAGTAAGATTAATTTAATATCACAAAGAAGGAAAGGCGGATGAGATCTCTCTTATTTCCCTCATTTTTTTCAGGACAGGCGTGGCAGGAGTCTGGATATTCAGGATGGGCCCAAGGGCCAAAGAGACCATGGAGAAGGGAGTGTGCCATCCATGTTCAGGAGACACACCGATCCAGCACAGCAGCCACAGGTAATTTTTTTCTTTTTTATGAGGCAGAGTATAGGCTGGCGGGAGAGGTAAGACAAGTTTCCACTCAAAGAGTCAACCTTCTGCATGTATAATTTGCAAAAAAAGTGTCACTATGCAAAACTTCTGGGCAACCCAAGAGCTTGGGTACCTTCTTAGATTTGTGGTGAGAAAAGCATAGAGTTACCTCAAGTGTTTTACTTCCTTGCTTGCTTCCTTTTCTAAAGATAGAGTTTGACATAAGTCGTTGAAATAATTAGCACCATATCCATAACCTCTGTGTTCACAGAAATTAAGAAAGCAGAGTAAAATGAAAAGGAGAAGGGGAGTATGAAGGTGTCAGGGAATGGGTGTGATATCTTGGGTAAGCATTTTATTTCCCTTAGGACAAAATATTAGACTTGCTGGGACTATTCATGCAACAGATACTATTTATTAAAAAGCTTTTCTATACCATCCTTCACATTGGGTCCCAGGATGGTAATATTAGGGGGTGGGCAGGTACGTATGGAAGGAGGTCCTCCTTCAGACATCCAGGTTCTGAGCTGTTTAGGGCTTTAATTGTGCAAGCAAGATTTCCTGGGTGGGCCATATGTGCTTTGGTGAAAGTATATAACATTGGGTGAGATCTGTAAGATTTGTGGTGGTGGCTGACCTGTTCCTTTTTCTTTGTGTGTTACAAGCGATCACGATGGGTCCGTGCCTTGTATGACTTTGAGGCAATGGAGTGTGATGAACTCGGGTTCTGCACTGGAGATGTTATAGAAGTCCTGGACAACTCTGATGCTTTGTGGTGGAAAGGCTGTTTACATGGACAACGTGGTCTCTTTCCTGCCAACTACGTAGGGCCTATGACTTGGTGAATTCACATGGTTTTTGACTGTGTTTTAATTAGGACATTCCATGTTATCAATAGCAGAAGACATCTTCAAAAGACCAAGTTACATAGTTTTTCACAGTCATATTATTAGCTATTTGGTAGTTTTGTTCAAGCATACTATCTTCTCTCCCAGATCAAACACAGAAGAAAGCAGTTTTGCATTCATCACAGCAGACTTGAGTTTTGTACAGCTCTTATATGAACCAGTGGTAACAGGAATATTCTCCTTGGAGTAGCTTTTCAGTTATTTCAAAATTTATTGAGTGTTTTTAATTTGAAAAGTAGATGAAGGTATATCAAATTTTCTAAATGTACATATAATATACATTAATTGTTCACGGTTTTTTTCTAAAGTTCAGCTCACCTGACAGGCAAATGACTGTTTACTAAGTAGACTGATGTACCAATTTACTGATGTACTATTTACTGATTACATCAGTCATTTGCTGCCCAAGCACAGGAGAATGCTGAGCTCATGTTCCCACTGGGAAAAATGCAGCATAACTCCCATTAAGTACAGTTTGGCTTGGAATTTGTCTCTATATGCCTTGATTGCTTGATCATTAAGACTTTATTTTCCCAGTAAGAAAGCTTTACAATATCATTCTTAATTTTGACTGTTCTTCCAGACATCATTACAAAGGTGCATATGTATGTTTATTCCACTCCACAATAATCACCTCAGTTTTTTCCCCTCCTAATTATATGATTTGCTGTTGCTCTTTCACTTTGTTTTCCTTTTGCTTGGGCCTTATTTGGGATTATTAGTTACAGAACAAAGCAGAGGACCCCTCACAGGAGTTCTAAGCTGCAGAGAGGTTTAGATCAGGGGTCTCAAACTC